TCGGTGGAGTCACTTACTATGTTCCTCGATAAAAGACAGTGGGTCGCATCAAATTGCTGCCTTGGACTGCTCAAGAGGGACGGTGGCACTTTATTTTAGGATGAGGATGACAGTGGACAGAAATGAACTGTGCTGGGTGTTTCAAAACAAATGAGTTTCCGCTATGCAGGCTCTCAGAACCAACCGTGAGAGGCGAGGTGGGGTAAGGAAGTAACTGTATACTTTAAAATACAGATTTAATTTTCATTCTGTTCTAGATTAGTCTTACTGACATTAAGCAAAGATTTTTATTCAAATTAAACATAAATGTAGCATAATTTATTAGCTTAAAAAATTCTGTCCTTAGTACTAATCGTTTGGTTTGTGTTTTCTGAGTGAACTATTTTGTTTCTGTAAATAGCTTATAAAGTACAAATATGTCTTTTCTTTTGATTCTTAATCTTTCTAAGGCTAAGTTGTTAGACCTTACAATTAAACCAAAGCTACTTTTTAAAGGTACCACCTCACCTGCCCTGCTCCCCTCCAAATGAAATCAGCTTTACCTGATTGTCCATTGCAGCCTGGTCTCGAATCACACAGCTGTGAAAGCATCATTTGTCTGTTTTCCAGAAATTCTTTAGAGGGTACTCTTCTGTTGGATGGAAAACAATCAGAAGGCTTCTAGTGACACCAATTTTAAAATTCATGATCGTGTTCATTTTTCCCCCCACTATGCTATCTCTTCCAATTTGAGGGTCTAGAGTTATTTTTTTTAACTTTGTGAACTAAATGGTCATTACAATAATAATTTTTTGTTGGTTACTTTGACTTAAGTGTGTAAGAAGGTGCTTATTAAAGCCTCTCATCGGGGGGGGGGGAGACAAAATATCTCATTTCATGCTGTCACTTCCAGCCAGTCTTCAGCTTAGTCTAATTAAACAAATATGGAGTAATAAAAATGAAAAACTAAATTTAAAAACGATTTGTATTTTTTTCAAGCGTGGAAATCTGATGTGTGTGGAGTAATACACCAGTTTATAATCTCTCAGAGGATAGAAGCTTTATTTTTGCTTTATTCATACAAATATTACAAGATAAGAACTGACAAAATATCTTAGCCTTATAATTTAAACTCCTAGGGGAAATGCATTTTACAAAAGGAAGGAGAGGATTTCTACAATGGAAATTCATTTGATCATCTAACTCTGGATTTATAAAGATTGATATATTTACATGTCAGGACTGTCTCTAGCTGAGATGGTTTAAGCAGTAGCCTGTGTTGTTGATTTTAGGAATATTAGAAATATTAGGAAATATTAGAAATATTTATCACCAAAAATGTCCATCCCATTGTTCATTGCTGAAACTTATCATTTGCGTTTTGTTTCTTTTACTAATTACCATTCCCGCTATCTTTTAAAATATAACAGAAAAAGGTAGCAACATCTAATTACCCACTATTTAGTATAGATTCTTCTTTACCATTTTATTGTTATAGCAGCTTTGTTTTTTTTTATAGCAGCTTTGTTGAGGCATAATTCAATACCAAAAATTTTACCTTTTAAACCATGTAGTTTAATGGTTTTTAGTACAAATGTGCAACCATCAATAACCATTATTTAATTTTAGAACATTTTTATTAGGGCTTCCTAAAAAGAAGCCCTGGCCTCTACCCATTAGTGGTTACTCCCATTTCCTTTTTCCTCCCAACACACACCAACCACTAATCTGTTTTCTATCTTGATGGGATTTGCTTATTCTAGACATTTCATATAAGTAGACTCTTACAATGTATGGCCTTCTGTACTGGCTTCTTTCTTTTACCATAATACAATCAAGTTTTATTCTTATCGTAGCTTGTATCAGTACATTCTCCCTTTACGTGGCCAAATTACATCCCATGGAATGAGTGTGATACATTTTGTTGTCCATTCATCAAAATCAGAAATATAAATGTCCATACGAATCATTTGCCCACTTTTAATTGAGTTGTTTTGTTATTGCATCGTAAGAGTTTTTATATGTTATGGATTATGGACACGATGTCAAGTCCCTTGCCAGACAGATGACATGCAAATACTTTGTCCCATTCTATGGGTGCTTGTTTCACTCTGCTGTGTCCTTTGAAACACGAAAGTTTTCAATTTTGATTAAGTCTAATTTATTTTTTCTCTATCTATTTGTGTTTTTGGTGTCCTATCTGGGAACCCATTCCCTAATCCAATGTCATGAAGATTTATTCCTATGTTTTTTTCCTAGGACTTTCTTAATTATAGATCTTAATATTTGGTCTAGGATTCATTTTGAGTTATCCTTTGTACATGATATGAGGTAGAGGATCCAGCTTCATTCTTCTACATGTGAATTCTTTTGCAATTTCTGCCTTACCCCTCACTTTTGGCTTTTGCAGTCTTAAGACGAACCAGAGGTGAGATAAAATGCCCTTCTCAAGTCTTATCTGAGCATGCACATGACCCTGAACATATCTGTGGCCTTTTAGAGCCCCTGGTATGTATCAGAGCTTTTCAAATCACCTTACAAACAACTTATTCCACAGATTTTTAAGTTTTTGGTCACATCCTTATTTACCTCACCGGTATTGCAGCCTCAGGCAGCTATGATGTTAAACACTTGCCACTGATTATTTTCAACAAACACCCTGGCAGTAGAGCTGCTCACCAAGTGAGGTCTGAGCCCAGTCACAGACAGTTTCTGTACTGAACGTGGGGCTTTTCCAGGGAGCTGCCAGGAAAGTCAGACAGTGGCAGTTCTTCAGGGATGGGGCTTTTTGAGGAGCTCCGAACCTACATGGCTCCCTTTAGTGGTAGCTAGGCTGCTGCTTTCCACAGCTCCTGTGGTTTCAAGGATACTGTTTTTCAAGACTATCATGGACCTATGGAAAGAGGGCTGGGAATTTTCAAGGTAAAACACCACAAAACTCCCTGTTTCAGCTGTTTTTCTTAAGTACTCCTTGGATTGTTGTGCATCTTTGGATGATTTCCAGAGTTCTGAAAAAGTTGATTCTGACAGTTTTGCCCCTGATTTCATTGTTCCTGTGAAAGAATGGATTTTCAAAAGTTTTTACAAGGCCAATTCTCTCTCTTTATTTTTAATTCTTGTACTTTCTAAGGACAGATGACACTGGAAGCACATGAAAATGCCTAGACCCCAATGAAGAGTAAAGAGAAGGTTGAATTGGATTGAGGAGGTTTCTAAACAAAGGAACTAGAGACAGAATTTGCCTGTTGACATTCCTTTATTAAATTTTTATTGTAGCAATGTAATAAATAGCCATGGGAATATCTATAGATGGAGCCTATATCCTTTTTATTTTACACAATGTTCTTTGAGCCTATACCCTCTGGTTTTCTGTCCCACAGTACATAGGGGAGGAGGACCACATATTAGAGGCAGACATGTGGGGACAGCCAGCAGTGAGAAAGAAGATTTAAGAATAAAAAGATAGACATAACAATCAGTGGGACACATGGGACATACTAGATACCTCACTTCATAGGCTATACTGTGTCAAAATGAAAATGTTAATTTGTGCTGTGTATTCTTTGTTACCTATCAAGAATCAATACAGTATTTATGATCTGATACTTAAAGTTATAGACTTCATTTACTTAGAGCATTTATGGCCAAGAAATACCACATTCCCAATTGATTTTCCCAATGAGACATTTCTGTTTTGTTGGTGACAAACTCTGTTGGTTAAAAGAGATTCTGTAATCACCCACCTAAATACATTATGGTAATTTAAACATCTTAACAAGCTGAGAATTTCAACAGTGCACTGTCACCATGTGTTGAAACATGAAGAAAAAAGATTAAGATTTTCAAAAGTAGAAAGTTAAACCACACTGTAGTAATGCATTTTTGTTCCCTTTCTTACTAAGCCCATTACGTTTTTAAGCACTGACAATACCTGCTACTGATCAAAAGATGCATTCATTTGTAGCTAAAGATATTATTGTAAGTTTCTGCTTGCATAAGATGCTGAACACTTAACTGACCACTTCAGAATAAGCTGTAGGCAGAACATTTGTGTCTTGAGAGGAAATAATGGTGATAGTTTACTCAACATCTAGGGATGAGAGCATAATGAGGCTTAGAGAGATCTCAGCAGAAGTCGTAGAGCAGAAATCCCAATATGAACAGTCAAGAGTGATTTCAGGGTAGCCATGTATTTAAAAAACCACTTACAATGTGGATGCCATTAGCTGACATCATCATAGCTGGCTTGTTGAAAACATCTTGCAGATCAAGGAGCCACTTGTAACAAAAAGAAAGGGAGAAAGAAAGAAAAGCTGCAAGAGTTTACTGTTCTGTGTACTACAGATAAAAGACCCACATTTGAAAAAGTCTGAATTATCATGCACATTGTTAAAAGCCTGTATTACAGGTGGCAGCCTGCAAAGGCTGAGCACATTCAGGGTTCTTAAGACCACTGTCAAATAAAGGGCTACTTTACAAGGCTGCAAACACTAATGATCAGTATTTCTTATCAGAAAGTCATTCCAAGAAAGGAGAGGAGCAGAATTCTTGGAGGGTTTTCCAATTGGCACTAAATATTAAGTAGGGAATTACATGACAAGGTACATAGTGGCAGACACAGTGTGTGCCTGGTGTTCTCAGAAATAACTCACATGGTGAGTATTCACCATGTGAGGTATCAGGTGTCAAGTGGAGAGTCAGTCAGATTATAGGTGTTGTTTTTCCAGGGCTTTTTTCCCCAACATATTCTTTGATTCAAGTCCAGTATACTAAAATATGAAGAAAATGTAACCGGACTCTATTTGAGTTTCATGTCCTTTTCAGGAGGAAGGGTTTGATGTGTTGATATTCCTGGATTAAAATGTAAATTCTAGCTAGGTAGTCATTTAAATATTTCTGTAGAATTTCCTATTAATGTCCTTACAGTAGTATTTCATAAGGTTAACATTAGAATATGAGCCATCTAATGCAAATGCAGGTAGTACTTTTAATTTTAAAAGCTTGCCGTTCCTTTTTTGCAGTGTCCTGGCAGGTTACAACAGTACCATCTTTGCATATGGGCAGACAGGAAGTGGCAAGACCTTCACCATCACAGGTGGGGCTGAGCGCTACAGTGACAGAGGCATTATCCCACGGACGTTGTCGTACATTTTCGAACAGTTACAAAAGGTATGAAACTAAGTTCATTTTGTATTTGATATATTCAGCAGAAATTTACTGTGGACAAGAAAATTACTGTGACATTATATTATATGGTGTCTAATTGAGAAAGTAGTATTGTGTGTTAACTCTGGCCTTTACATTTAAGGAAAGGTTAAGGTTTTTTGGAGAAGTGGAAATTAAGAAGATGCATTTCATTAAAGGTGTGCTGCTTCAGCAAAAGCTCAAGGGGAGTTCCTTCTGGTACACTCACAGGGCTTAAAAGAGTAGACAACACTTTTCACCAACTAATACCTTGTATTCCACACGAAGAAATCAAGGAATACCCTTTTGCCAAAACAGACCTGTCTTTTAGCTACTAAAGCACCAAATAGAATAGTATGATTGTTACTTTTCCACACTTTTGTTTGTTTGGTTGGTTTTTTTTGGTACCGGGGGTTGAACTTGGGTCCTTGTGCTTGCGCAGCAGGTGGCAAAACCACTGAGCTAAATCCCCAACCCTCCACCCTTTTAATAGAAGCCAGTTTACCAGAGTACAAATCTTATTGTAAAGCGCATTCTATACAGAGACGTTCCTGTGTCTATATGTGTGTTATTTATTTGGTGCCTCCAAGCACCCGTTACTTTATTGTTATTTGGTACAACACCGAATGCAACTGACAACCTAGGTGTCTATTTTATAGTTAGGAGAACTGAGCCTCCATTTAAATATTTTTCTCTGCTTCTACATCTTATAAATAGCTAATCTGGAGCTCCATCCCTGGTCTGTCCAGCCAAACTCTGTGCTTTTTGCCACTACATGCACTACTTCTACAACTCCAACTGGCTTTATTTTATTGGCTATGTGTAAACAAATTCTCTATAATGAGTCATTTAATTTCTGTGGGTTCAGTTTTTCCCTTTCTGAAAGTAGAGATTGAGTTGTCCTCTAAGATCTTTACCATCCCTTCTAGATCCAGCAATTTCTTGGTTGTATTAATTCTGTATAGCAAATGTGTTAACTAGGTCAATGTAACAGTTACTCCAGAATTTCTCTACTGTATGCAATTTGCATTTTGAGTTGCAGAGATGAGAAGAGATCACTGAGATCTGCATAATTCTAATTGTCATCCATAAAGTAGCAATTATCCATTAGTTCAGCTCATCTCTCACTAACTCAAGCACACAAACTCTGCATGCCAGAAAATGTTAAAGAGAAAAGGTTGAGGATAGTGTATATTCAGGATCCAGAGCCCTTCTTTTTAATTACACATTTATTCTAAGATTGCCTACTTGTTTTAATTTCTAATAGTTTCGTTTCTGCGGCCAAACACAGAGGCCTGTTGACTTGGAAAGATCACTGGGATGGTGCGGGCTGGCCTGGTCCCAGGAAGGATGTACGCCTGGCAGCATGTGGCCTCGGGGCAGCTACCTTATGCCTCAGTCCTGTGGAGCTGCTCTGATGGGCTGGACAAACTGTATTTAAAGGTATTGTCCAGTTCCTGGCTCACAGTGTGTGCTCAGCACTTGATAGTTATTACCACAGCCATTAATATTCTAATATCTGCATGTAGCCAAATGATCCCGGCCCAATTTCAGAGGACGCTTTGAAACTCTCAGAACAAACGAAGCCAATTTCCCTGATTAAGTTAACAGAATAAACAAATCTCCTAATGGAAAATATTTTCTGTCTCTTTTAAAATTTCCCTTTGGTTACCGAAGTGCAGCTCTAAAACCCTAAATGCTTCCCAAGTATTCACCATCTGTTAGGTTCATTGTTTTAGATCTGTTTGGCATGGACATTACTCTAAACCCTATTTTATTCTAAATGATCCTAAATAACTCCCTGGACTTAGAGAAGGCCCATTGGACCAATTTATAGCCAGGACAGCTCTTTTTAAATGGACAGATTTCCATGATGGGACACAAGACATTCATTATAACCACATTGGACTGGTGTGAAACAGGCAACTTAAAGTCTGTCATGAAGTTTGTCCACATGATATTGCCGAGAAATGCAGACTGGCACCCTCTGGAATTCTTAAAGGAACTGTTTGACTCTAGGAAGTCCTTATTTCAAGATAAACCAAGAGCCTAGTGGGTACTGAGTCCTGAAATGCCTGTGAGTGTGATATGAGCACATTTTCACTGATTTTAAGAGGAGAAAATTGATTCCATTTATTTTCAAAATCACTGCTCATTATTTTTGAGTATTGTGAGGCTCAAACTTGTTTGGGGGCAGAAGAGAAGGGCTGTCTGCAGGAAACATGTGTGTTACATTACGGTCTGGCAAGCCAGACCCTGAAAAGGAGTTATGAGAAAAGGTAGCTTGCCACATAGCCCAGTGAATTTTAAGTGTGTACTCCAATAAAAGTCTAGAAAATGCAGAAGCCGGAGGAGTCAAAGGCACTATCCTTCTCATCTCAGGCAGCGGGCCTGCTATTTTCCTGACTTTTTATGATTTACTCTAATTTCTGAAAGAACAGAATTTCTCCACTGAAGACTGAGCACACATGTTGGCTGTTCTTTTTGCTTTTCATTTCCTTTTCTTTTATACTCACATACTTAACTCTCCATTTGGAGGCCTCTACACATAATAATTTAAAAGGATTTCAGTAGCAATAATAATAGCAGCAATGATTCGTTGATACCTGTTATGGAGCATACATATCTTTGGTAGAATTGTAAATATAGAGCCTTATTTCTCCATCACAAGGCTTCAGAATCAGAGTAATTATTACCTGATTTATTATCGCAATAAAATAATTAAGGATAAGGTCTGCAGGCTCACTCAGTTATAAATGGAAGATGGCAGCATTCAAATGCAGATCTGTCTGATACTAAGAAGAACTCAGAACTCTATACTAAAGTTTCAGACTATAATCTTGGGGATATTTCATGTGTTCAGATAAAGGATCCCTTAGGGCCTTTATCATGCTCTGAGAGTCTTCCAAAGAGGAGCAGAAGAGATGGATGGATGGATGGATGGATAGATAGTGTTGTTTTGTTTTTTCGGTTTTTTTTTTTTTACCATGGGATACTTTTTTCGAGGAATATTTCATGGACTATTTTGGGAACCACTGGATTAGACTAACCACCACAGAGTCTCTGATACCTGTGCTGAGCCAAGCCACAACCCAGAGAATGATGTTGAAACGGTCCCTTCACTAAACCGGGACACTAATGTGATCATTAGGCCGTTAGTCGAGGATAAGCATTTGAGTTGTTCATGGCAGCAAAATGTTCAGCATCTGGTTGAGAGAAACGTGCTTAGAGGGGATTCAGCCCACATCATCACCTGCACAGAACATCAGGATATGGCATTTCTGCTCTAGCTTGAGTGTTTTTACTACAATCATGTGTTGGCTGGGAGTTACCTTGATTTTTCACATAGCATTTTATTGTTATGAAGAGGTAACGTCTTTATTTGGAGAGTTGGGGCCATTTTAGGACAAAAAAATTATTGATTTTTAAACTAAAGAACACACAGGGCTTAATTGCCCCAGTTCCTTGCTTCAGTGGGGTCTGGTTGTTGGGCTCACAGCTGGTTGGATGAGGATTTCAGCTTTTGGTTCGCAGGCCACTGTTCTCTCCTGGCCTCTAGGACCTGGTCCTCTTTCCCTTTGAACAAAGCCTGTTAAATGCATCGCTTGTGATGGTGAGACTCAGTCAGAAGGTCTCCCGCTGCAGATTCTGTGCCACTATCCACTTTGACCCCCGGCAGCCTTCTTGCCACAAGACCCAAACATAATCTCTTCTTTGGGGAACCATGATAATATTGCAGAAATGGAGGCATTTGTGCTTGGGAAGGATCAAAAAGAATTATTTGATATTTTGCATTGAAAGAAGAACTAGGAATTTTCTCCAGAACTGAGAAACATTCCCGCAGCGTTCCAGCTCAGAGGGAACAGGTCCTTGCTGTCTGTGGGCAGAACAGAGGTGAAGTCGGGTTACCTTGACTTTCAGCTTCATGACATTGATGGCCACGTCATTGCATTTCAGCCACGGCCACATAAAACACCTTTCTCTAACCAGCAGCTGAAAGTTTCTGATTTGCACTCTTGGGCTGGGAAATTTAACCCAGTAAACAACATACAGACAGAGAACTGTTAGTGTCGGTCCACTCCTACATGACTGCACTAAGCTGTCCTGGATCCCCCGGACTTTACTTCCTATTATCTGTCTATGTCATCAGAAATTTTTGAATACTAGAGTAAAAAAAAAATATGATGATAGAAACTACTTGCTACTGAAATTTTTGAACCAAAGTAATAATGATCTGTGTTCTCTTATGAATAGACTATTCACAAAATGTAAGCTTGTTTTTTCTTAGTAACATTTTGGGGGGTGTCTGGGAAGTGAAAAATGGTGTGTTATACAGTTCTGCAACCAAGTTGGCTCATTTTAAGTGTATATTGACTTTTTATGTATAATGTGGAACCAATAAAAAATAACAGACTGAAGTTACTTGTAATCATGGGTGTTGGCCATTAAAAAAAAGCTTCCTGCATATGGTAACTGCCAACTTGAAAGTGTCACAGTCCAAAAATGTAAACCATATAAAGTGAGAGAGAAAAGGAAAGAAAATGTGAGGAAACCATCATGATAAATGTATTCATCCTTCTCTAAGCTGAATTGTTATTTATAGTCATTAAATAATGGCTTTCCCTTTTCCAATCAGGACAGCAGCAAAATGTATACAACACACATTTCCTATTTGGAAATCTACAACGAATGTGGTTACGATCTATTGGATCCAAGACACGAAGCCTCCAGATTGGAAGATTTGCCGTGAGTAGCCGAACAACAAAGAATAAGGGAAATTATTTACAGATGTTCCCTTCCATTGTTTCTTTGAAACTTTGTATGTTTCTGGTCTCAATCATAATTAGTAAATATGGGATAACAGAATCTTTTCATAATATAATGGATATTTTTCAGTTATGACAAATAGACAGTAGTGGTGGGAACTAAAGTTGCTCGAAACTCATTTCATGGGAAAATCCCTCTGGGAATTGGCATCAGAGCATGCAGACAGTTGTGTCTGAGACTGGGTGCTTAGGGAACTGGTGGGGTCTGGTCCTCCACTCCTGTCACATGGAACCTTTTATTCCTCTCATCAGTGGCTTCTTCTCGAAGAAGTATTTGGATTAGAGTTCAAACAGCAACAAGAAAATCCAAGAGGGAAAATAAAATTTTAAGTTCTCCCCAGTTGCTTCTCTATCAGTCATACTAACAATGACAGTCATTTGATCAGATTGGCAGTGATGATTTGATAATTGAAATATTGTCTTCAGAACTTACCCATTAATGGAGTAAGTTACCCTGCCAGAATTTATATAGCACTGCTCAGTACTTGTTTGAAATCTACCCAAATTAGACATGTCAATTGGTAACAATTCACATTTTTTTGTCCAGAAATCATATACAGAAGCTTCATATAGCCAAAAAATGTATTTTAATATTCCTCTTATTAAATATTCTAAAATAAGTTAGAAATACATATTATTTTCTATAAAGAGATCAACAACCAATCATTTTAATTTGAAAAATACGAAGAAAAATAAAGGAAATAATTTATATTCCTTATACATTGTATTTTTCCATTAATGTAGGTTTAAAAATTTTTGCATATCATCTCTTTTATGCTTATAATATTAATAAGAAGGAGTTAGGAAAGGGTATTATTATTTGTATTCTAAGCATTTGTATAAGAAGTAAGGGAAAGGAAAGATTACTGACTCCATGGAAGAAAATGGCCTTTAAAAAACTATTAGAGCTGGGGATTTAGCTCAGTGGTTCTGCTGCCTGCCTCGAAAGCACAAGGTCCCAAGTTGGATCCTTGGTACCAAAACCCCTCCCCCCACAAAAAACTATTAGAATGAAGTTTACAAAAAAAGGTAAAATTTCTTTCACAGGAAGCCTGAGAACAATAGCATTAGACATGAAGGTGGGTGGGAGGCTGTGTGTGAGGAACTGAGCGCTGGGTCTGCATGTTTGCGCCCCACCCATTCACGTGTTAAAACCTGATCACCAATGGTATTAGAAAGGGGCCTTTCAGGGTGAGATGTGATTAGGGCCTGAGGGAGGAGCCCTCCTAATTAAATTAGGGTCCTCATAACGAAGGCCCCTGGGAGTCCATTTGTAGCTTCCCTCCCTCGTGTTGAGGACACAGTGAGAAACGGGCATTCTCCCATTTCTCCGGTTGAGGAGAGAGCTCTTACCAGAACTTGGCTGTGCCAAGCATCCTGATCTCAGACTTCCAGCCTCTATGGCTGTGAGAAAGGAATTTCTGTCGCTTATATACCCAGTTTATAATATTTTATTGTAGCAGCCCAAATAGACTACCGCACAGCATCATTAGAAGTAAATCAAGAAAGGCCAATGGAAGCCAGCTTTTGAGGGACAAGCCTTTTAGTTTGTGATTGATCTTTATTCTAATTGACTTCTTAATTGGCTTTCTAGCCTCTAGTGTGACTCATACACCTTCAGACTAAACCTTGTTTAAAATTGCTTTCAACAAATCACACCTACACCTAACAGCTTGAAGGCTGATAACAGTAATCCCAGATTGGAGAAGGGGAAAGGAAAAAGGGAGAGAAAAGGAGGGGAGAGAAGGAGATTATAGCAAGCACTCTGGGTTTGATTGAATTTGAAAAGGAGGGTGAGTCACAACAGGTTGGTGTTCTCATTTTGCTCGTTGAGGAGATAAGGCCTAGAGGGGAGTGACTTGTACAAAGTTTGAGAAACAGCTGGTTCACAGTAGAATAAAGGTTACAAACCAGTTATGCGCACTTTCATGGCAGAGTAGCAAAATAGGCTTCACAATTTTTATGCTGGGGCTAAAAAAATGAAAGAGTCAATTAAAAAAAGAGATTTCCATCCAAAAATGTAATTAGGTGATGATGAACTTTACACATCAACCTTTCATGTCTGAGGATGCTGTACTAAATGTTTATATTTATGGTAAAGTCCCCTGAGGTAAGAAACGTGCCTCACTTGGTTTGGGATGCTCCCTACTGCCTATGCCAGAGTCTTTAATAATTTATCACCATGTTATCTTTTACACTGAAACTCTGAAATTGAGAAGGTGAGAGAGAAGAGGAAGAAGGACAGAGCATGAGCTCTATTCCTCTGAATCTAATTAATATGATTTGCTGCAGCCTAACAGGAAGAACGAGGGATGAGAAAAGCCCACTGGACTCTGAGAGGGGATGTAATATGAAGAATACTTGATTAGAAGTCAGGAAATTTGGGTTCCATTCTCACCTGCAATTTTAGAATTTTTTTTCGCTTTTCTGTGTTCTCTTTGTCTTAAAACATGGGCATTGGATTAAATAATACTAAGCAACCTTCAAACCTCCATGTCTGTAGTTCAACAGTTGATGATTTTCATAGGATAGGACTTATTTGGTGATTTTTCTCCATTTCATAAAAGAATAAGAATTGATTTAGACCTTTCTAGTGTTGTCTCTCTAGAAAAGAAACACGGTGATTTAATTCACTCTGTCCTCTGCATTTCTCACCATCCTCAGGATCTAGCAGTCACTCCCAAGGTTGGTGAGACTGGCTGTAGAGATGTTGGTAGCTTTCTTTCTCAAACTATGGTACTTCTTTGGTAGCTCCGTCCTTTTGTTGGACAATCTTCTGACTCAGGTTAAAAGTGATCTTGGGTACAAAACAGAGATTTTCAGTGAACTACACATAATACACACACTTGGTGGGAAGATGTTCTTTTTATTCTAACATTTTGGACTATAATTACATGACAACAAATTCCATTAAAATAAAAATGTCATTAAGAAAGAAGACTCATTTATCCATTATATGGAAAAGTTTGGTGTTAGTTCTCTGAAAAATTCAGGTGTAAACCCACCTACGTAGGCTCTTTCTAGTTGGTAGAGTTTTAATTACTGCTTTAATTTCATTGCTTATGTTTATGTTATTGATATGTTTAGATTTTTTTTCTATCTTTTTGGATCAATTTTGGTAGGTCATATATGTCCAGGAAATTATCCATTTTGTCTAGATTCTCCAGTTTGTTGGAATATAAATTTTGAAAATAATCTGATTATTCTCTGAATTTCAGTGGTGTCTGTTGTATTTCACCTTTTTAGTCTCTAATTTTATTAATTTGGGCCTTTTTCTCTTTGTGAGGTTGGCTAAGTGTATATCGATCTTGTTTATCTTTTCAAAGAACCAACTGATTCATTGGGTTGTGTCTTCAGTTTTAATTTCAGTACACAAAAATCGGTAACATTCCTCTACACCAATAAAAATTCACTGAGAAAGAAATCAGGACAATAATTCCATGCATAATAGCTTCAAAAAAATTAAATGCCAAGAAATCAACCTAGCCAAGAAGAGAAAGACCTCTATAATGAAAATTACAGAACTCAAAGGAAATTGAAGAAGACATTAGAAAATGGGAAGACATCCCCTGTTCTTGGATTGGTAAAATTAATATTGTTAAAATGGTTATATTACCAAAAGCAACCTATAGATTCAATGCAGTTCCTATTAAAATACCAATAACATTCTTTCACAGAACTAGAAAAATCAATGCTGAATTTCATCTGGAATTAGAAAAGACACAGAATACTCAAAGCAACTCTGAATAAAAAGAGCAAGCTGGGAGATGTCACTACCCCAGACCTCAAGCTATGCTTACAAAGCGATAAAAACAGAAATGCAGACCAGTATCATAGAGTGGAAGACACAGAAACAAATCCAAGCATCTACAACCATCTGATTTTTCACAAAGAGGCAAAAACATTCTAGAAAAAAGACAGTCTCTTTAACAAATGGTACTGAGAAAACTGCAGAAGATTGGAGCTAGATACCTATCTCTCATGCTGTACTAAAATCAAGTGAAAATGGATCAAAAACCTAGATATAAATGCAGAGACACTGAAACAACATAGAGGAAACACTTGATGCCATAGGCAGAGGCACAGACACCCTGACCAGGACTCCAGAAACACATGATGATTCCTGCTCATCAAAAATCAACAAATAGGGAGACATCAAATTAAAAAGTTTCTGCATGGCAAAGGAAGTACTTAGCAGAGTGAAGAGACAACCACTGAATGGGAGGAAACCTTTGCTAGCTCCTCTTCTGAAAGAGGATTAATATTTAGAATATAGACAGAACTTTAAACAACACCGGTAAAACAGTGAACCCAATAAAAAAGTAGATGAATGAACTGAATAAATACATCATGAAAGAAGTTCAAATGGCCAAAAAGTATGTAAAAAAATGTTCTGAAATCCTATCCATCACCAGAGAAGTGCAAATTAAAACTATATTGAAATGCCATCTCATCTCGGAATAGCTATTATCAAGAATATAAAAACATGAATGCTGGTGAGGGGGCAGGAAAGGGGAGCACTCTGCATTGTTGGTAGGAATGTAAACTGGTGCAGCCCCTATGGAAATCAGTGTGGAGGCTCTTCAGAAAACTATACAAAGAAATACTGTTTGACTCAGATATGCCATTCTTGGGCATACTCCCCAAAGAATTAAGGACTACATACTATAGAGAGCCATGAACAACCATGTTTATAGCATCAGAGTTCACAATAGCTAAGATGTGGAAACATCCTAGATGCCCATCAACAGATGAATGGATAAAGAAAATGTGGTATATGTACACAGTGGAATATTATTCAGACATAAAGAAGAATAAAATCCTGTCATTTGCAGGGAAAATGGATGGAATTAGAAACCATTGCTTTAAGTGAAATTAGCCAGGCTCAGAAAGTTAAATGATGCATGTTTTCTCTTACAG